GTGTGCCGCTCTGATCATCTGATCATCTGTCTCCTTGGTGCTCGGGTCCGACATGTTGCTGACAGAGTGGACAAAGTTTTAAAAATCATATAAAGTACAAGTGACTCATGATAATAGATGTAAACTCAGGGGCGTACATAGAGAATGTGGCACCCGGGGCGAGTCGCAGGCAGTCATACACACATTCCGTTTCAAGCAGTAACACACAGTCACGCACACTGTTACAGGTAGACAGTCACACACACACACACACACACACAGTTACAGACAGGCAGTCACGCACACGGTAACATGCAGACAGTCTCTCACACACACACACACACAATTACAGGCAGCATCACACAGTCACAGGCAGACACACACACACAGTTACAGGCATGCAGTCACACACAGTTACAGAGAGACAGTCTCACACACACACACAGTTACAGGCAGACCATTACACACACAGACACACAGTTACAGGCAGAGAGTTACACACACATACATACCCTTACAGGCAAACAGTTACACACACACACAAAGTTACAGGCAGACCGTTACACACACATAAACACAGTTACAGGCAGACAGTTACACACACACACATACATACATACCATTACAGGCAAACAGTTACACACACACACACAAAGTTACAGGCAGACCGTTACACACACACAGTTACAGACAGACAGTCACGTACACAGACACACACACACATTTACAGGCAGACAGTTACACACACACAGTTACTGATAGACAGTCACACACACACAGTTACAGATAGACAGTTACACACACACACACACACACACACACACACGGTTACGGGCGAACCGGTTACACACAGTCACACACGCACATACACACAGTTACACACACACGCAGTCACACACACACACACACAATTACAGGCAGACAGTTACACACACACACACAGTTACATGCATGCAGACAGTCACACACAGTCACACACACACACACAATTACAGGCAGTTACACACACACACAGTTACAGTCACACACACACACACAATTACAGGCAGACAGTTACACACACACATACACAGTTACAGGCAGACAGTTACACACATACACACAGTTACAGACAACAGTTACACACACATAGTTACACACACACAATTACAGGCAGACAGTTACAAACACACACACACACACTCTCACTCTCTCTCTCTCTCTCTTACTTACTTACAGACAGTGTGGGCTGGAGGAGGACTGGATTCCTTGAAGTCCTTCCCTGGAACCTGTTAGGTGGAGGAGCAGGGATTTCTTCTTGCTGCACCTCCATACACAGCAGTAACAGCAGCGGTGAGGGCCATGTTAAGCCCTCCTCCCGCTTTCGGATTGGCTCTGCCCCCAAATGGCCATAGCTCCGGACGCAAGCTTCCGCGCGGCCACTTCAGCTTGCTTGTCTCTGCCTGTAAGCTGTGCGACACCCCAGCTGCCATGGGGCACAGCTCACACATCCCCCATTAGCCCTCAGACCTGGGTTATGGCACCCCCGTACCTGGTGGCACCCGTGGCGGACCGCCCCACCCCCTCTTAGTCCGCCACTGTGTAAACTTACTAATGCAAGAAACCTAAATAAGAGATGGAGAACTAAAGGCAATAGCGTACACTAAGCAATATGACATAATAGGCATAACGGAAACATGGTGGAATGAGAAACATGACTGGACAGTAAACTTAAATAGATACACATTAATCTATATGTATGATTAACTCCAACGTAATGCTCTAGGTGTTATTTTGCTCATACTGCTGTGCCTAATATGTAAATTCTATGTTGCATTTACAATAAAAAAAATTGTATTTAAAAGCAAAAAGAAAAAATATTTAAGTTACAGCAAGAGTCCCAAAAATTTTTTTAAAAGACATTATTTTGGAAGAATAGAAACAAAATAAGAAAGGTGGTGGTGTATGTTTGTAAGTCAACCATGAGTTAGAGCCAAACATCAAAGGGACACTATAGTCACCAGAACAACTACAGCTTAACATAGTTGTTCTGGTGAGTATAATTGCCTTCAGGCATTTTCATGCAAACACTGCCTTTTTTCAGAAAAAAGGCAGTGTTTACATGCCCCTAGGGCACTCCTCAGATGGCCACTGGAGGTGCTTCCTGGGGCAGTGATGCACAGTAGGCAGCACTACAGTTCAGCGTTTCCATGCAGAATTTTCCTTATAGAGCTGCATTGATTCAATGCAGGGCCGGTGAAAGGATTTCTGCCGCCCTAGGCAAAGATCCATTTTGCCACCCCCTCATGTCACTCTCTCACTGACAGACACACACTGGCAGAAACACACACATACTCACTGGCAAACACACTCACTCACTGTCAGACACACACACAATCACTCACTGACAGCCACACACACACAGAAACTCACTGACAGACATACACTCACTCACTCACTGACAGACACACACACACACAGACAGACAAACACAAACACACTCATTGACAGTCAAACACTCACTGACACAGACTCAGACATCCAGCCTCCTTACCTCTCTGGGGTCCAGTGTGGAGCAGCTCCTCACTCTTCAAGCTCTGTTTAGTATGCCGGGGCCTGAATGATGTCATATTCAGGCTCCCGGCATCACAAAAGGTGCGCAAGGGAGGAGTGGGAAGCTGCAAGAAGAGCCTTCCTCGCTGCCCACACTGCCACCTGCCTGCCTCCTCTTCTCCGCCGGCATTCATTGGCAGAGCAGGCACCTGCCATTAGGGTAACCAGGTGCCTGCTCTGCCATACCTAAAAGAAAAAAAAGGCAGCTTCGGGGGCGCCCTGATGTGGCCATTTGTCCACCTCCTGGGCCCCTCATTTTTGGGCACCTGGAAGATCGGCCCGACACTATGGGGGGGGGAGGCTCTAGAGCCTCTCACCTAGCGCTGGGGCTCAGGACAGGGGGAGCCCGGTGCCGCCCGCAGGGCCACCCCAATTCAGTGAATGAGGAGGTGCTGATTGGCCAAAACAGCCTCCTTGCCGATTTCAGAGAAAGCATTAGATTGGCTAAAAATTGGAAATTCTGATTATGTCACCAAGGAGGCAGATCGGGGGTGGGGCCAGCATTGGTGGACCCACGCGGCACTGGAAATAAGGTGAGTTTTATCATTTTTAACATGGGAGTTTAACATGATAACTGCAATTATTAATACTTAAACTGCTTCCATTGACTCTTCAATTTATGCTTTTCTGTGGTCACCCCTAAAGGAGCATGTAAAGGAAACCAGAGGAAAGCATTAATTGAGGAGAGTCTCACCTCTTTATATAATCTATTGTGTTGGGATAGTTTTCACCCACATTTGCTTAGACGAGGTATTCCAGTATACATGGTGCAAAGACAAAGATTTTCTTAATAAATAGCTTTAAAAGGCTTTCAAAAGAGCATGGGAAATGATCCATGATTCCTTGTTGGAAACCAAGGGATGACAAGAGCTCACGTACAATACACCAGGGCTTGACAAATTTGCTTGGAATCTAAGAGCCAGCAAAAAAAGTTATGAGCCAGGTTTTTCAATGTCAAAAATACAATTCATAAAGGGTCACTATAGTCCCCTGAACCACTACAGCTTAATGTAGTTGTTCTCATTTCTATAACCTGTACCTGCACACTTTTCAATGTAAACCCTGCCTTTTCAGAGAAAAGGCACTATTTAAATTGTTGCCTAGTAACACTTCTAGGCTGCACAGTGCGCAGTACTTACATTTAGCGTCTACACGCTCTAGATGGAGGCGCTGAACGTTCCCCATAGAGATGCATTTATTCAATGCATCTCTAGGAGGAGATGCTCATTGGCGCAGCGTGGCATTTTGCCACACCTGTACAACAGCCTCCCAGTGCATTTCTATGGGAAAGCATTGGATTGGTTGAGATCATCAAGACTGATGACCACAGTAATGGAGGTAGGGCCCGCTGCGGCAAGACCAGCACAGTGTGTGGGGAAAAAGTTGAGTAAAAACCCCTTTTCCATCTGATTGGAGGGGGACCGGTAACCTAAACACTCACTGACAGAAACACACGACAGACACATTCACACACTCACTGACAGACACACAGACACACTAACTGACAGACACTCACTGTCACTACAATAATCACACACATTAATATGACCACCCAGCCTCTCTACCTTTGGGAGAGCTGGAGTGTTTTGGCTTTCCCTGTGGTCACATTATAAACAATGTTATAACAATGTTCTAACTGGTTATAACAAATAATCTTTTGACATCTTTGTAAATAATGATCACCATATGGTGTCTGTTGAAATAAACTCAAACAAGCAACTGTCCATGTGGTGTACTAAAACATATAGTTTAAAAAAATGTCCATTTCAATAAGATAAGGACAGGTTTACAACTCATTGATTGGCATAAACATTGACGATAAATTGGATATTTTCAAGCAAATATTACAAATGTACACTTCTAAATATGCGCCATTGGGTAATGAAATAAACAGGCTGTAACCAATGTGCCTGAATTGGAAGGTAAATCAAAAAAATAAAAATAAGAAAAGGGCATTTAAAGCAATTAAAAACAAAACATTAAATATAGGATTAAAGGAAGCTAATAAAGAATTCAAAAAGGCAATTAGATGGGTAAAACATAAAAAATAAAAACCATTATTAACTACATAAATTTAAAAAAAATAAAAAAAAATAAGTGTAGGTAAACTGAAAAACAGAGATGGGTGTGTTAGATGATGAAGTCCATGAAAAGGCAGACAAATTGTGATTGAATGACTCAAAACAAGGTGCTACAGCAGCCAAAGAAAGTTAATGTAAACAAAGCCCTAGGGTCTGGTGGTATTCATCCACAAGTCTTTAAGGAGCAAGTGTAGAAATAAGTAAACCTCCATTTCTTAATCTTTCAGAATTCCTTTATTTCAGGAATTGTATTTGAATTGGGGCTGATAAAATAAGGTTTTAGAAAAAAAGAAGACATCAAATGGTAACCATTTTCTCAAACATCTACCAGATGGTTACAAAATGTTTCTAACAGGAAAAAGCAAGATAAATAACGTACTACAGCCTCTGTGTTTAGCTTTTGAGGTATAAAGGACAATATTGTGCAATAGTAAAATAAATGTACAATTACTTGTAATTATGTCAAGGTGTGCATATTCACCATTCATTAGCAAGCACATATATTGTACATACCTAATAATACCTTTGTCATTGTAGAACACAGGTGGGGAATCTTTTATCTGCCAACGGCCATTTGGATATTTAAAACATAATTCGCGGGTCAAAATGATCAACTTACAAATTAGCCTGCTGTATTTGATCAAACATTTAATTAACTCACTCCTAATGTGATGGCTGGAACTGCTGATGTTGCTACTCGGAGTGTGAGAGGGGTGTAGGGTGTGTGCAGTATGTGTGTTAGGTGGTATAGTGTGTCAGGGGTCTTTATTGGGGGGGGTGAGAAATCAGGGAGAAAATGTATACATTTTTTACTTAAAAAAGAGGAAAATAAATCTTAATACACAACCCCCCAGTCCCCCCTCCTCCCCCCATCATTCTTACCTCTAGCCTGGAAGGAGGAGAGGACATTTGTGGTCCAGTGGTTGACTTCACAGTTTTCTTCCCGCGAGCACAGCGCTGTCGGAGCATTGCCATGGTAACATGCGGCAATTGCCATGGTAACCTGCATGCTCGCAGGAGCATCACAGCCTCCTGGGTCGTCCTCCTGTCCAGCAGGCTCCAGGGTCCTAGCTCCTTCCCTCTCCCTTTACAAACTGCCCGGATACCGGTTAGGGAGATCTTTGATCTCCCCACCGGCCCGAAAAAAGGCAGACAGAAGGGCAGACTCTCCATGGTCCAAATTATTTTGCAGGCCTTATACGGCCTGGACTGACGTTCCCCACCCCTGGTGTAAAAGATGAACCTTTGTTGGGGAAGCTTTAACAACCCCCCCCCCCCATGATTATGAAGATTGTTTTGGACAAATAGCCATATAGAGAGTGGACATTTTCGGCTGAAACACCTGCCTTTTAGTTATGACGTGCAAATAGTGGAATAATCAGAAACTGAGAGCTCCATTATGTACTCATAATAAATACAACATAAAGCAATGACACCATATGGAAAGGCAACAAAGTAAACTGCTGGTTTTGATTTACCCCTTTAAAGCCTTCTAGCAAATGTTCTATTAGGATGCCGTTCTACATTAAAACACTGACAGACCCTTGTGAATTAAAACATTGCATAACTTTTGGTGCTAGTTCAATAAACAAAGCAATTGTCACAGTTTGGAGAGTTGATTGTCCTCATACAAGTTGTATGATTGTAACATTGATTTATGTGTGGAGTCCATGAGGAAGTTCTTGATTGTATGTACCTGTATTTATTAACTGCTACTGGGTGCTGACTTTGCCAAGATTATTTTTAATAATGGACAGGCTAACAAACAAATTTAGAGTGACAAAAATACTGTGCTATTAGGCAGGCCTATAAGTTACAGGTCGCCAGAAGTCTGGAGGATACAAAACACATTCCCCAAAAGGGATTTTTCACTAGCCAATTGCTTGTGTGGTAGTGGAAATTCTGAGTCTTGCAAAAAGCATCACTCTCCTAGCAAGAAGCAAAAATTGGGTCTGGGGGACAAAAACACAAGGGGGGGCTGGGAGAATAAGACACATGGAGGGACTGGGAAAATAAGTTGCATGGAAAGACGGGGCTGGGGGCGAGAATAAGACAGGTGGAGGGGCAGGGGAAGAAATTGAGGCACATGGGAGGCTGGGGTAATCAGATACGTGATGGAGTTGAGATGCATGGAAGGGTTGCAGGGGGCACAAAGAAGCATAGAGAGGCTGGGGTAGAGAGACCCAAAAATGGGGCTATGGAAAGAAAGAGACACAGAGGGGCTGGGGGGGAGACACAGAGTGGCTGTGGAAGGGTCAAAAGAGAAATAGAGGCTTTAACTGAACCCATTAGATTTTAGTTGTGTTAAAAGGGACACTATAGTCACCTAAACAACTTCAGCTTAATGAGGTTGTTCAGGTGAGAACTATAGCTCCCTGCAGCCTTTCCCATGTAAACACTGTATTTTCTGAGAAATAAAACATTGAAAGCTAGGAACACCTCCAGTTGCAGTTACTCAGAGTGAACCAGAGGGACTTCTGAGTTGATGGACGCAGAATATGCCTCCATCCACTCAGATCTGCTGTGCACAAGCATTCTGTGATTCAGTATCTCCTCCCACTGCATGCAGACACTGAACTTTCATCATAGAGATTCATTGATTCAATTAATCTCTATGAGGAGATGCTGATTGGACAGGGCTGTGTTAGAATCATGCTGGCTCTGCACCTGATCTGCCTCCTTGTCAGTCTCAGCCAATCCTATGGGGAAGCACTGTGATTGGATCAGACTATCACATGTCAGAAGACTGCTTGTTTTTCCTGAGTCTAACAGCATGCAGATTTACAGCTTCTGGCTTGAATACAGTAAGATTTTTACTATATTTATGGAGGCATGAGGGGACCAGGGGCTAGATGGTGGTGTTAACACTATAGGGTCAGGAATACATGTAGTTGCACTGGTGACTATAGAGTCCCTTTAACTAAAAATCTACTGGAGATTTAGTCGACTAAAACTAAACCAATACAGATTACTAAAATGGCTTTTTAATTTAAAAGACTATGACTAAAACTAAATTGAGATTTGCTGCCAAAATTAACACAGGAATCAGTATATGTAGATTTCTTGACATTTTTTATATTAATCATTACAAGGCATTTTCTCCTTTCTAGTTCTCCTGAAAAAAAAAATAGCAATTTCTAGTACTAATAGCAGAGTAGTGGTATAAAGCCTGGCAGATAAAGATATTTAGACTAGGTATATCAAGAGTAAGTTCTCTCTCCCATATCAAGCAAACTGGAAATGTATCCATAGTGTAGAAAGATCTAATGATAGACAGCTAGTACATTTAGTTAGAGGTGTCTTTAGTGCTCAATACTAATTAAAAAAACAAAAAGTCATCACAGAAAGGTAATTTAAACTCATGAATTAACTTCTGTAATTTTCTAGATATAAAAAGAAAAAAAAAAAATCAAGCATTTGTTTGAAAACAGTCAACTTTTATTAAATCATATATTTTAGACAGAAACAGCACAGAACATAAGATCATCATTTACCCATAGTCTAAAGTGCGAATGCAGCCATATATTTTACTGTTACCACTAGAAAAAGGCTACCATGTTCCAGTTTTCTCAATTCAAGAGAAATATATACTTAATGTGATTGTTATGAGCATATAAACTCTAAAATTATTTTAATTTCTTAAAAAAAATAAAATAAAAAAAAAAATAAAATCTCTGCCTTAGAACATGTTGGTAAATTATAGAATGTCTGAATCCTAATTCTACCAACCCGTTAAACACACACACACACACACACACACACAAAAAAGGTAAAAAAGTCGACAAGATTATGCCGCTGTCAGAGCAGCAAGCAGAGAGAGGACTGGGCATAAAGGGTGTTACCAAAATGTAACATCAGATATGTTTTGTGTGAAACTAAAAAAGTAAAAATAAAAAGGTTTTGTTAAAAAAAAAAAAATCCACTGTACATTAAGGAAGTTAAATGGAACATCTTGTAAAGCTCAAATTTCAGAGCAAATCAAATCTTGATTTGAATCAGAGAAAAAACAGAAGTTAGGGTCAGGAGACTTCAACACTTTGCTCAAGACACTACTCCAAATGGCTAAGCTGACCAATGTGTGAGAAGTTGAATTGAAAGAAGTGTAACGCAGGGATACTGCCATCAAGAGTAGGGTTCTACCAGCAAGGTTAATGTCTTCATTTTGTTATTATTGTGGAGCCCAATAAATTTTCATTCATAAACAAATATTTAAATGGTGATGACTTTCTTAAAGCATTACTGTATTATTGTCAAAGGCCCATATACATCTGATTTGTTGTTAACAATCGGCAGTCACCGCAATCTATAGTAGAATTTGGACAAGTCGCCACTCTGCAACAGGCAGGAATGAACACTCCAAAGTGTGACAACGTTATACTTAAGATCCTGAACTCTGCATTCGTGTGCTGTACAACTGATGTAGCTTTTCCCCCCACAATTCAGCATCTTGATATGCTTCACTGCAGAGCTTCCAGCTGAGTGGAACCTGTTCCTCCCCATAGTATGCTCCAGCAATAGCCCCAGCCATGGTAGCTATAGTGTCTGTATCCCCTCCAAGTGAGATGCAAAAGGCAATAGTGCGTTGTAGGTTGTTATATTCTTGGGGTAGTTCCTCCACAGGATCCATGCATCTCAGGAATGAATAGATAGCAGTGGGGACAGACTCCAGGGCAGCAATTCCATTACCTTTGGGAGAAGAGAATGTATTTTATGTTTTGTGCTAATTAACATATTTACAGTGTGATTAGTTTGTTAAGATCTTGGGATGCTAATTATACCTTATGATAGATTTAGTTTCAGTTTTTCTGTAAACCTTCACATTGCCAGTTGCATAACAAGGGAATATACTCTTAGGAAACAACCTAAAACTCACCCAGTTCTTCAACCACATTATCCTGTGACACATTTCCTTTCTCTAAAAACTCCTTAATTTTCTTTAATTTATTACAGAAGGGGAACTCTCCGAGCTCCAGCCTGTGAAAGAAGAAAAGGGGGGGGGAGGGGGAGGGGGAGAGGAGAGCAGATTAAAGATGAGAGAAAGATCATTATTATGTAGAAAGCACCAACAAATTCCAAAGTGCTGTACAATAGGTGAACCAACAGACATGTATTTGCAACAAGACGGATGCACAGAAACAGAGGGTGTTGAGGACAGTGCTCAAATGAGCTTACATTCTAAAGGAAGTGGGGTAAAATGGTAAGAGGTTGGTTTATTGGATGGCACGGTTGCAGGAGAGGAAGAAGAGGTGCTAATACGAAAAGAGAATAAAAACATCTTCGGCAGAGAGATGTGTATTAGTGAGGATAGGAAGGTATGAGCAGCGTTATATAGAGATTTGCAAGCAAACACCAGAATTTTAAAACATTATGTTGACATGCAAAGGACCATAAACATCAAAGCCCATTGTAATGGTTATGATGCTGCCTCCCAGGTCAGTGTGGCAAATCATTTTAGTAGTCTAATACAAACTTGTGGTTCCTAAAATATAAATGCCATTCACATGTTGAGAGCATCAACTAATAACTTCACAATATAATTATACCCAATATAAGGGATAGTGACCGGGGCATGCTCATCCCAAAAATTACAGTAGGCAACAATGAACATAATCATAGAAGACTGGAAAAGCATCATGTCTAAACAAAACCAAGTAGTAAAAGCTCCACTATTAAACTGGGGAATGGTTGGTTCTCTGGGACATTGTTAATCCAATTAAACCCTTGGGTTTCATTTTTGTTTAAAAGCTATTTTTCAGCCCATATGTGAATTAATACTGATAACAAATGTACTCACGCTCTGGCATCAGAACAGGATTTTTCATCCGATTCTACCTCCTGCATGTGGTCCAGAAGATGCTGCAGAAAAGTGTCCTTACTCTGCTCCCCCTGCAACGCATAATGCACAGCTAGGGCCTGTAAGATGCCTCCATTGTAGCCCAGAGAAGAGGCATGAGTCAGCTGGCCACTGAGTTTAGCATACTGCTTGTAGAAAGACAAAAAAAAAATAAATATATACACAAAATTATTTCATGATACAGACTAAGCCACAACATTAAAACTACTAACAGGTGAAGTGAATAACAAGAATTATATAATTGCAATGGCATGTCATGGGGGGGATATATTAAAAGTACAAGTAAACAATCCTTTCTTGAATTTCACGTATTGCAAGCAGGAAAAATTGGTAAGCTAAAAGATCTGAGTGACTTTGACAAAGGCCAAATAGTGATGGCTAGACGACTGGGTCAGAGCAACACCTGAAATAGCAAGTCTTGTGAGGTGTTCCCAGTGGTTAGTACGTTGGAAGGTCAACCGGTGAACGAACATCAAGGCACCCAAGGCTCAAAGATGCACGTTGGGAGCAAAACCTATCCTGTCTGGTCCTATCACAGAGAAGAGCTACTGTAGCTCAATTTGCTGAAAAACTTAATCTTGTTCATTATAAAAAGGTATCAGAACACACAATGCATCGTAATTTGCTGCATAGCAATAGACCAGTCAGAGGGCCCAGGAGGACCCTTGTCCGAAAGCACCTTAAATGGGGATGTGAGCATCAGAACTGGACCATGGACCAGTGGAAGAAAGTTGCCTTGTCTGATGAATCATTTTCTTTTAGAACAGGTGGATGACAGGTGTGTGTGCATTGTTTACGTGGAAAAGAGATGGCAGCAGGATGCACTATGGGAAGAAGGCAGGCCGGCACAGGCAGTGTTATGCTCTGGGTAATGCTCTGCTGGGAAACCTTGGGTCCTGGCATTCAAGTGTTTATTACTTTGACATTGTTGCAGACCACATACATCCCTTCATGACAATGGTGTTCTCTAATAGCATTAGCCATTAATAATGCACCTTGCCACCCTACAAAAATTGTTCAGTAATGGTTGAGGAACATGACAAAGAGTTTAAAGTGTTGCCTTGGCCTCCAAATCCCCAGATCTCAAGGTGGAGGCGCCACCTTAAACATCTTAAAGGGTCTGCTGCCAATGTCTTGGTACCCGATACCACAAGATATGTTCAAAGGTCTTATGGAGTCCATGCTTCAATGCATTGGAGCAGTTTTGTCAGCTCAAGGGGGACCTATACGATATTAGTCAGGTGGTTTTAATATTGTGGCTGATCTATATATATTTCATGAGTTTTTATAGATGTACTATTTTATATTATTATATAGAAAATGCTATTATTTATATAATGCTTACCTATTCTGTAGGGCTGTACAATAGGTAGACAAGACAATTTACATAAAACGTGTTTGACATATGGGAACAGTAAGTGAAGTGGGCAGCATAACATGTTATTGTTTAAAGGAGCATTACAATGTGGATGCACCACCCATAATTATGCTAGGGCTAGACAAATTTGCTTTGAATCTCGGGACTCTCTAATAGGACTATAGTCACAAGAACCACTACAGCCTTATTCTGGTTTCGTAGCCTGTTCCTGCAGACATTTCAATGTAAACACAGCCTTCTCAGAGAAAAGGCAGTGTTTATATTGCTGCCTAGTAACAGTCACTCAGATGGCCACTAGAGGTGCTTCCTAATCTATGCACTGCATGGAGGCGCTGAACATTACCTATAGACATGCATTGATTCAATGCATATGAGGAAATGCAGACTTCCGCAGCGCTTTGCCTCACAATGTTTTCCTATCGGAAAGCATCAGAAAAGCTGAGATCATCAAGGTTGATTATCTCAGCCATGGAGGAGGAGGCAGCCGATGCGAGACCAGCATGGTGTGGGAAAAAAGACGAATAAAAACCCACCTTTCCCATGAGATTGGAGGGGGGCCTGTCACCTAAACACACACACACTCTCTGACTGACACACACTCTCAAATTATTGTTATTTTGCTGGAGTGGATGCTTTCCCTGGAGTCCATTGTGGCTTCTCTGAGCCTGTCATCTTCTTGCAATGTTCCCTCACTGGTAGTGATGGGGCCGGACTGACGTCATATCCCGGCATCACTGCAGGGCATTCGAGGGAGCAGAGTAAGATCACAGCACCCTCCCTCGTCGCCTGTCTCTGACTCGCACATTTAGCAGGCTCCATTCTAGCCGCCTCATAAGAAAAAAGTGAAAGTCCATTTCTGCAACAACTCTTTACACCTTTAAAATTTAAGTGTTTTGAGATCAGCCAATCGAGTTGCTTTATAATATATATTTATAACTATTTATATTGTTTTTGAATAGTGTAAACCCTAAATTAATCACTTCAAATTGTAGATGCTTGCCTCAAGCGCTGGAATTGGCATCATTGGGTGGTATAACTAGTTCTTTTCTTAATTTTCACAGATTAGAAATTAGAACACCATATTATGGTGCTTAGTTACAAACACAAAGTTGTATTCAGAAGCATAACACTAAACATATGTTTTTTTTTTTTAGACAAACCTTTATGGTATCCTGAATGCTGGGGTAGGCCAGTGGGATTCCTACCACTCGCATGGCTGCTCCATTACCGTATGACCCTCTGCCATCAAACTGCTCCTTGGCAGGAATAAACACATTGTCATACTCGCCGCTATCAATCTTTTCAAACACATGTACCACTGCCATGCCATATCCACGGTGAGGATCATTCTTGTACTCTTCAGTAAATCTGGAAAATTATGTAAGACATTTCAGGTTGCAAAACAAAGACACTGTCTAAAAAGACAAACAGAAGAAGTAGATACATTTTCTATAAAAGAAGGCTAGACGTTTGGGTATTAAGTTTTGATGCAGACTATATAAAGAACAAGTATAGAATAGATTGTGATATAGTAAGAGGCAAGAAACATGATATAAATTACTACCATACTCGTACAGCACCTCTCAATTCTTTAACTCAACTGACCATCACCGTAATGGGAACTGTTAATACAGGGCTCGAAAAATCCTGGGATTTGTCAGCCCTTTACCGGCTGATCCAAACAATGGGGCCAGCCGCCCACCCTGGAGAGCATGGAGGCGGCCTTCTCATGGAGCGTTGTAGCCGGCCGCCCTGGGTTATGTAGAGGCCGCAGGATCAAGCAGCTGCTAGGGAGCAGTAATCTTACTGCAGCTCCTCTCTGCTCCCTCACGCTGTATAGGGATGCCAAGTAGGGATTGAACGATATTGATTTTTTTTTTTGAGCCGATACCGATAATCTGTGAACTTTCAGGCCGATAACATGCATTTACCATTTTGAAAAAATAAACTATTTCTAAAGGTAAATGCACAAAATATACAAGCCACATGCAGTGGATGCAGTGTGTTTAGACAGTGGACCTGTGTGTATATCATGAATGTAGGGACTGTTTGTGTAGTGTGTATATAATGAATGCAGAGAGTGTGTGTTTGTGTAGTGTGTGTATAGTGAATGTAGTGTGTGGTGTGTAAAGTAAATGCAGTGTGTGTGTGTGTAGTGTGCGTAAAGTGAGTGCAGTGTGTATAGCGAACGCAGTGTGTGTATATATAATGAATACAGTGTGTAGTGTGTATATAATGTAGTGTGTGCATTATATACACACACACACACACACACACTACACACTATATACAGAGTGTGTAGTGTGTGTATATAATGCAGAGTGTGTGTGTTTTCCTGAAGGGATGTGATTTGTGTAAAATGGGGGGAGGCATTTTTTATTTTAATTTTTAATGTTTATGTTTTATTTTAATTTTTTGTCCCCCCTCCCGGCTTGCCTGGCCAGGGAGGGGGGATATGTTAATCCCTGGTGGTCCAGTGGTATGTATAGTGGGGGGCCAGCAGCAAGCTGTTACCTCCCAGCAGCTCCTCCAGCTCCCCAGTGTAAATCTCGCGGAGCGTTACTATAGTAACCCGTGGTAACGCTCTGACGGCCGCAGGTCTCACGAGATTTACACTGGGGAGCTGGAAGAGCTGCTGGGAGGTAAGTAACAGCTTGCTGCCGGTCCCCCCAGGACCACCGCTAGGAGGTATTATCGGTATCTATACTGGCCGATACCGATATTGCCTATAATACCGAATATTGGCTGATTATATCGGTAAAACCGATAATCGGTCGATCCCCAATGCCAAGAACCAGAATATGACGCCATTCCGGCATCACTACAGACAGTGCGAGGGAGCAGAGAGTAGCTGCAAGTAGATTACGGCTACCTCACACGCAGAATGAGCAGGCAGCCCCACTGAACCCCATGGAAAGATCCACTCAGCTCTCTCAAACGTAGGGAGAGTGGGTGGATTAAAATTTGTGACAGTGTGAGCATGCCTCTGTCAGTGTGTCTCTCTGACAGTGTGTTTGTAAGTCTGTCAGTGTGTGTCAAAGTTTGTGTGCGCCTGTCAGGCTGTGTATGTCTGTTTAGGTACCTGCCCCCCTCCGATCACATGAGAAGTGTTTTTGCTCACCTTTTTTCCCAGCGCTGTGCCGGTTTTGCCGCGGCTTGTCTCGTAGTTGAGAATATCAATCTTTCTGATCTCCGCTAAGCCAATGCTTTCCTATGGGTAACATTCAGCGCCTCCATGCAGAGCACTTACACAGGATTCTCTAGTGGCCGTCTGAGTGATTGCTAAGTAGGCAGCAATGTAAACACTGCCTTTTCTCTCAAAAAGACTACAAGGACAAGCTATAGGCACCAGAACAACTACATTAATCTGTAGTGGTTCTGGTGACTATAGTGTCCCTTAAAAATAAACAAACAACTGGCTCCTAACTTTTTTAGATGACTCCTAGATTCCATACAAATTTGTCAAGCCCTGTGTTACTAACATCACAAAACTTTTCTCAGATTCACTAAACCCTTTTTCTGCAGATCCCATGTTATGACACCACATGACAGCCACTTCATCAGGCAACAAAAAATTACTTGCTATAGGGGTTCAAAATGTATACTACACCAATTTTTTGTAAATTAACTAGACTCATTTGTCTAAGGCAGCGTTTCCCAATTGGTGTTCCGTGCACTTAGGGCTACCAGATGGTTATTGGGGAACAGGGGCCTGGTCAGGCACAACGGCCCTTTAAGAGGGCGACCGGGCAACTGTAGTATCGGATGCTGTGAAGAAGTGACAGCCTGTCACTTCCTCCCAGATACAGAGAGCGCAGCACTGGACAGAGAGGCAGCATCGGGAATGGAGCTGCTGCAGACTCCACACACCAACCTCAGCTAGCAGCACTCTAAGCAAGCCACCCTCTTGCAGACAAAAGATAAGTTAACAGGAGGGTGGCTGCAAATATAAACATTATGACGTGTGTGTGTCTGTGTGTCATTGTGTCTGTGCCAGTTTGTGTATCGGCATGTCAGTGTGTGTATCTGTTGTAGCGGAGCTACCTGTACCCCGACTGAGTACCTTTGCCAAGGACCGCTTCCTAGCTGGAACCGGGGAAAACCTGAACGCTTCTGCCCCAGTCGCCGTGGCTTAACTGGGGTCCTCCTAGAGCATCTCCGTCCTAGAACAGGGTAGGGGACTAGCTTTATCTCATGTCAGGCACTGGATGACACACGGTCCTGGGCGCTGGACTTTCCCTGCTGAATCCTCCACGAGCTGGAACAACGTGCTGAGCAATGATTAACCCTTTCCCCTCACAGTACTAGACAACACATGGTTCTTTGAGTACAATTGATTTTAATGAGCCAAACTCTGTCTTTCACGCACAGACCCCAGCATGGTGTCTTCATTGTATTCAACACAAGCCCCTCCCAGGAATCTCTGGGCCTGGGAGATAATTAAAGTTAAAGTTCTGACCGGTGCTATGCCTAAAATAAATCCAGGGCGTTTGGTGCTTTTGCCGGTCAACTTTCGGGAGCTCCTGCGTTTGAAATACATGGTGTTCTGTCTAGCTCTCAGATAGCGTTTGTTCCCCTTAGTCTCAGGCACCTTCCCTCCAAAAAGCGCTCTCCTGGCAGTGGTTCAAAACCCCGGACCAAGTTGTACGGCACCTGATGACGAAAACAGTTCCATAACATTCGCGGCTAATTACAGCTGAGATGACTGGGAACCCATGAAGTCCTCATGCCGAAAGTAGTTCCATAGTGATCGCGGCTAACTATCGATGGGTTTGTTCATGCGAACCGCCGCCAGGGAGCTAGCATCCAGTTCCATTCGTGAGAAGGGAAAGTGCCGAACCAGGAGCACCCAGGGAAAGCTGCTAATGGCGGCTGGGCAGGGTAACTCCCAAACTGTGTCTCAGACCTGGACCAGTCGGTGGGCAGGAGGCCGGCTTTCACACTCCTCCAGGAGTCTGTGGCAAACGTTCGTGGGAAGGAGCGTTTGTCACACTATGTGGCAAGGGGTTTGTGTATCTGTGTGTCAATGTATCTGTCAATGTGTGTATCTTTGTGCCAGTGTGTTTGTATGTATCTGCCAATGTGTATTTGTGTGTGGTATCTGAGTTTGTATGTTTAACTGTGTGTATCCGTGTGCCAGTATGTGGTATCTGCGTTTGTGTATGTTTAAGTATTGGCGGAGAACAGTCAGCTGAAGCTCTCAGCCAATGAATGGCACTGGATCGGCATCTGCAGCAGATGGAAGCATGTCACATACACAGAAAGGAGCCTCAGAGCTCTGCGTGGACCCAGGTAAGTAGGCATACCAATGCTAAATGGTTTTTACCATTACCGGAGAAGTAGGCCAGGGTATTCCTGACATTATAACCACCAAAGTGGGCTATAGTAGATGTAATGCTTGGAATAACCCTTTAACAGAGTTTGTAACTCCTGGGTATATATTTTTATCACTCATGTCCCATTTAAGGAACATATTTTTTCCCATTTATTTATAAATCTTGCTACCCAATGTAAAGTGTGTGTAATCTATTTATATCTGGGGCAAAAAAAAAAACACACAAAAAAAACACACCATGACAATCATACCTACACGTAATGGTCTTGGCACATAGACAGATGGTTCACAGTGTGCCAGTGCAGTAAACCATCCATCACTGTATTGCAAGCAGATAAATTGTACCTTTCAGCGAGATCGTTTGTATCAAATTGTTTGTTGGCCAGTACTGACTGAATGATCGATCTTGCCATAGCAGTGTCATCTGTGTACATCAGAGGATCTAAATCAAGGGGTGGAAGAATAAAAAGAAAAAAAAAAAGAAGAAAAGGAACAGTCATGTTTTTGCCTTTTCTACCTTAGTTCACCATATAAATAAAAAGGATAACATTCAATTTCAACACAATCCAAAGATATCATGAGACAAAGCAATTAGTGAAGAATATCTGCAGCTTTATGCTCACATATTGTAAGGAATAACAAGGGTGAATAACAGAAAAGAATGCCCATAGACATAAACAACATATAAAAAACAAAACAAAAAAAAAAGTCGATTAAAATCCACAAAAAAGACAACATTAATATTTGTTGTGGGTACTACTTAATAGAAAAAAGGTAAACTATGGATGAACAGACATATAGCTCAAATTCTAGGTTTTGTTTTGATCAGAACGTGTACAATTGCCTCCGTTCTTAATGAAGCAGTTTGGTTGTATAACTCATGACCCTGCATTCTCACTGCTCAATTTTCTGCCATTTAGGAGTTCAATCATTTTTGTTTCTGTTATGGAGCCCTAGCCACACGTCACAGCCTCCATGAAAAAACAAAATCAGATGTTAACTTGCTTTAGCAATTTTTATGCCCTGTCTGCAATTTGAACTTTAATCACACACAGGAGGCTATAGAACACGCAAGCTCTAGAAGACTATTAACATAGCAGGACATAAATTCTAGATTAAACAGACTGTGCAATACATGAACATAAAATATCTAGATTCCTTTTCAGGAAGTGTTTAGGAAAGCTGTACAAGTCTTCTGCATGGAGCTGTAACTAGGGCTGTATAAACGAACAAAGTGATTTAACTCCTAAATGGCAGAGAACTGAGCAGTGGGACTGCAGGGACATGATCTATGTACCAAAACTCACTGTAGTTCGGAATACCCCTAATGGTCTGTTTTATGATTTTTAATCCACAGCATTTTTTCTTTTTTTCTGTTAAAGCACCTTTGCCAGGTCTGCATTCCATTTTTTTATTTTATGTTTTTTTTTTTGTGGGGGGGGGGTGGGGGTCAGAGGGGTTTTAACCCCTCTCCTGACTCCTCTACACTTTATTGTCCCCCCATCACCCCCAAATGCCACTAGGTCCCCCATACCACCTTTTTATACTGCCTAATTTCTTCTCCCGATCTGTGTCCTAGGCACAGCCATCTTTGTGTTCCTGGATGAAGTTTACTTCATCACCTTCATTTCCCACACTAGCTTGCGCTGTGAAATTCCCACGCATGCCCACTTGTAGACTTAGGCATTCACTTTTGTCCTAATTTCGGCTATTAGTCCAAAAGACAAAATTAATGAATAGAATTACATTGAAATGAAACTAAAACAGAGTTGCGACTCGTTCTTTGTTCAGTTTATTACAAGAAGGGAGTTACCAGCTAATATTTTAAACCAACCAATCTGACGCGCTAAGTCAACTTGCACGGTGTGGAATGGCTTTATAAGACTTTACCCACCCCAAGCTCAGTCTGCACGGAGCCCTTGATGGGTGAAGATGGAATATTTTTTAGAGGTATATTTTTGTGATCGGGTCCTTTATTTTAATAGTTTGACGCAACTTTATGGATTTCAGTTTGCCCTTTTTTGAGGGTGAAAAAGGAATATGAAAAAAAAAAAAGGAGACATCTAATGGTCAGTATTAATATTTTATTTTTCAGGTATTCAGATTTATTGCCCCCTTTCCCCACTATTATAAGGGTGAAGGTGGTAGGTAGGGTATTTGTTTATTTGAGAGGTGAATAGGCACCCCCTAGTCACTGGGGGGGGGGGGAATTATTTTAACAACTAGCCCCCACCCTTGGCAAATGGGTGGGACAATAGGTCCCCACCCATTATAATTTAGGGCCCCCTCCCACTGTCGATGGGTGAAGGCTGGGACACACACACAATGTTCCCCCCCATTATCATTCGTGGCATCCATCCACTGCCAATGGGTGGGGTCTGCAAAAGGACAATAGACCCACTCCTCCATTGTCATTTAGGGCCCCCAGCAATCACAACAGGTGGGAGCTGGGGAGGACAATAGCCCCCACTCGCAGGGCACTCGATCCCTGTTAATTATTTTAATAGGCACCCCAGCATGAAAGACCTGTGCCATCCATCATTGTCATTCCAGAAAGCAGCAATAATATCACTAAGAATCTCAGAACCTGTGCAGTCAGGGAATATCCATATTATTTATTTATGTAGTCTGTTGTGTCGTTAATAAACCACAACAGTTTTAGTTTTTTCTGATAATGTCTATGGGTACCATTCATCCATATCATTCCATAGAATGCAGAAAAAAAAGTCACTTAAGGCAGCACTGTCAGCCCCTCCACCTTCTGCAAAATTAGTATGTCTTAAAGATATTAGAAAAGGGAAGTCCTGTGAATTCTCATTCAAGTTCTATGAGACAGATGAGCAACAAACAAGAGGAATTCCACAACTTTTTTTTTTCTCTTTATTAAAGTGTTCTTGCATAGCAAGACCACTTACTATTATCCCACATATATTATTATTCTTATTATAGCCAAATTTACCACCCTAACTCTTCCCACAGTTTTTACACTGCATAGACCAGGGGTAGGCAACCTTTTAACAGCACTGTGCCGATATAGGATTGTGATGTCCCGTAGTGTGCCAGTCCTATTTTTTTAAATTGACGTGTGTATGCTGCCGTATTCTGCTTGTGTTATTTTTACTGTAATTGCTTTGTATCGTTGTATTTGTGAGTATATGAGCTATTATATTGTATATGTTCATGAGAAGTTTGTGGTTGGTGTTGTGTGTATGTGTGGGGGCTGTTTGGAGTATTGCACGTGAGATGCTGCATGTGGGATTGTGTGCATGCATGTTGATTGTTAGTGGTGTTGCGTTTGTACGGATTGTGTGTATGTCTGTTCGTTTTATTTGTATGAGGGGAGGGTTATTCTGCATTTCTGTGTATATCTAGCAGTGTGGGTTCCAGTGGGGACCAGGCTGGCCAGGTACAGGTCAAGCACAGGAGCTGCAACAGCAACTGCAGGCTGCTCTACTACAGTGTGGATTCCCATTCACAAGTGCTGGGAGGAAGTGATCTGAGATCAGTTTCTCTATGTGCTGCAATGCATACATTGAGGATTGTCCTTCACCATCTCTTCGTATTAGCAGATATCTGATACTGGGACTCCTGATAGGCCAGAGCCTGTTTGGCTCTAGCAGCCTTGAGTGCCGTAGGTTGCCTACCCCTGACATAGACAGTAATATACCGAAACTTGGGGATTGTTCCCGATCGGATTGCTATTACTTTGTGGAACGTTTCGCCGAATGTTTCACGGAATATCATCGTTTTTGTGGCAAAATTGGTCCCATAGGAATAAATGGGAGCTGACAAAAGCTAGAGTGTGAGCTGAAAAATCAGGACATGATTTCTAAACTGCCACCACTCCCTCATTTTCAAGCCCACCTACACAAATCTTATATCAAAACGTTCAGCTATCCCTGCTGCCAATAAAAATGTCCACGGCTAAGCCATAGCCCTGATAGTTTTCACAATATGACCATTTGTTTGCAACTCACGCCGTCCATTGACATTCATTGAAACTCCACTCTAGCCACCTCAAATTTGAAGGGCAATATCTAAACTGCGACTGTGCCTTCATTTTTAATATCCCAGAGACATATTATGCATCAAAATGTAGGTCTGGGTCTTGTGATTCTCACAATATAAAGCTCTTCACTGTAGGATTTGGAGCAGTTTGTTTTTAACCGCTCTTCTCTGCCCTATTTGAAATCTATTAGTTCCTGTTGGCAGTTGGTGGAATGTTCGAGGGATTTGAAAGCTCTTCTCTGCCCTTGCTGTAGAGCAAGTATGTCAAACTCAAAGTCTGGCACAGGCCACATATACCAGGTTTAAGTTTACGTGGGCCGCAAAACAAAAATACCTTACATTTTCATAGAAACATAGGTTTCTTTTAAAAAGTACAGTATAAAAAAACAGTCTCCCCCCCCACTAAACCACAACACCCCCCCTCCACCACTGTGTGCCAAATCTGATCCTCCAGCTGACACACACATACTCACAGGCACACTGAAACACACATACAGGCACACTGACAGACAGACACACACACACAGAGACGCACACACTTTAAGTGTTAGCAGAGTAGGCACCTGCAATGTGGAGAAAGCAGGTGCCTACTCTGCTTGGAATATTAGGCATGTACTCGTGGCTCGCTGGGCTGCAAAGATGGTCCTTGTGGGAAGCATGCAGCCCGTGGGCCGCGAGTTTGCCATGCTTGCTGTAGAGTGCGTGAACCACACTCCAACATTTCCACAGTTACTCCGCCCACTCCAGTTGTAGACTACTGGTGGAGACAAGAGCACTTCACACAATTTCCCCAGAAATTGTAGCTTTTCTAGTTATTATTATTATAACAAAATTTATTTTAAGTAATAAAAAGGGGGAAGTCAGTTACTGATAATATCTTGAGCTAAAAATAAATATGTATAGCTGCTATTACAAGTAGTAAAGCCCCAATGTTGGGTACTTTCTGTATTACAATGAACTCCCACTATGCTCAGCCAGTGTAACAGAATGCTATGTGTATACAGTGAGTGTATAGGACTATAATCAGACTCAGTGCTGCCTGCCTGGCTGGCTGCCTGCCTGGCTCTCACCCTTCCCCTCCTTGCTCCGTTTGTCCAGGCGGTCCAGGAACTGACACACACTCCGTACAGTTGTGTTGAGACCCTCGAACACGGCTCCGAGGCAGTCTCCCAGCAGTGCCCCCAGCAGGGCTCCCCGGAAGCTGGACACCTTGCACACAGCCATAGCTGCTGTCAACAGCGACTGATTGACACTCAGCAGGACAGATAGGCCTTACTGGAAGCACGCAGACCAATCACAGGGCGCGGATTTGACACCAGATACGGCGACCAATCGCCTCTTAGGAATGTGGCCAATCAGCGTGCCGAGCGGTCAGTGGGCGGGCGCACTGTACACTTAAAAACTTGCACGTGAGCCGCACTGCTGTCCTGTGTGTGTGTGTGTGTGTGTGTGTTTGGAGAGTGAGGGCCAAGTGTGGGCACGGTGCGTAGGGACTTCCTGGGAAGAGTAGTCTTCACAGCTTATGTGCCAAATAGTTGTTTTTCTTGTTGGCTGTTGTGTACTGGACATTTCTAAAAGACTCCAGTGAATAATCCTGCTTTGTGATAGTTGACTAGACACTTCCCCTATTTTGTCCTTTTCCTGTGGTTGGTCCTGCTGCTATTCTATAGAAAGGAAGTGCAGTGCTTGAGCTTTTATAGCTGTTTTATTTTTGATGTTTAAGTTCCTGTCTTCCTGTGTCTTTTTTCTGATTACAGCATATCGGGGAAACTACAGAGAAGTCAACAAAAAGTGATAATGTGGGCTACTCAAGGACATTTTATGTTGAATTCTTCGAGAATGTTCCACTAGAGTTCTCCCAAATCCTGGTTACTATCTTGCCTTTGTCCTAGCACGGGTGTGCATAGGATGTCACACTGCCAGTGCTGGCCTGAGAGGTGTGTAACCTCGGTGATAAGCTGACCAGGTGCAGGTGACCTAGATTAGTTGTCCAAACTGTTATTAAATGGTTTAACGAATTTACTCGGGGACGGCTCCAGGGCACTTATGGCACCATAACCTCTATACCATGCTGTAGGGGTTATGTTGCTTGGGATGTTCCTTTAATTGTTTGAAAGGTTGTCACATTCTTCTCTGTGTTTTTGTCCTTTCCATCTGTCAGACTTTTCCTTAGCATTGTGGGTGCCCCCAACCAACATTTTTATTTTAGGGGTGTGGCAAGGAGTACGGCTGTTCAGATAAAATGTAGGCGACCTACTAATAAAGTATATGTAAACTCCACCACGGATGGGTCCAGTCGGGTCAGGCTTGTTGATGTTGCTTGGGGAGGCTCAGTAATGCCCAGCTTGCATACGTGCGACTCCAGGTCTAAAAAGTTGCGTGGACGGAAGGTATTGTCCTGGTACTGAAATGTGAGCTATTTCGGTGTACCTTAGTGGTATGGTAAACTCTTGTTGCGGAGCTGTATCAATAGTGGTCGCAGGGCCCTGCACCACTCAATGGTGCCTTTGGTGAGATCTGGGAATAGCATTCGCGTTGATCCCTCAAATTGTAGGGGAGTTTTCCCTTTGACAGCCGTCAACAGGAGGGTCTTGTCCTGTAGCGCTTGGAAACGGACTATAGGTCTGTCTGAGCGTCAGTCGGTGGCGTCCTCCTCTTTGGCCATCTGAACAGACCGTCCAGTCTTACCGCCTTGGCCTGGTTATGTGGTAATAGTTTGTGGAAAGTGCGTCTAACGAAGTGAGGTAGGTATGGCAGGCCTACAGAGTCTGGGACTCTGCGTATCTTTAGGTTATATCGCCTCCTTTGGTCCTCAAAGGCATCCACCCTATTGTTGGTGGCCAGTTGTTGTTGCTGTATATCATCCAGTTTGAGCTCCATGGCGGTAATCCTGGAGTCTCTTAAAGGACCACTATAGGCACCCAGACCACTTCAGCTTAATGACGTGGTCTGGGTGCCAGGTCCAGCTAGGTTTAACCCTTTTTTTTTTATAAACATAGCAGTTTCAGAGAAACTGCTATGTTTATATTAGGGTTAATCCCGCCTCTAGTGGCTGTCTCATTGACAGCCGCTAGAGGGCTTCCGCGCTTCTCACTGTGATTTTCACAGTGAGAAGACTCCAGCGTCCGTAGGAAAGCATTGAGAATGCTTTTCTATGGACTGGCTGAAAGCGCGTCGGGCTCTTGCCGCGCATGCGCATTCAGCCGGTGACAGAAGAAGAGGGAGGAGAGCTCCCCGCCCGGCGCTGAAGAAAGAGGTAAGTTTAACCCCTTCCTCTCCATCAAGCCCTGAGGGTGGGGGCACCCTCTATAAGCACCCTCTATAAATCTGCTATAAGCAGAATAAGTGACGTATACACCAAGTACTATGCTTTATAGATAAAGATATAAACCATATAGAATAGAGAAACGGTATATGGAACTGTTCTCTATGATGTAGTAAAGTTAGGTATCCTGACTGTATAGTACAATACAACCATATATGCTGCATATGTCTTTAAATCTGTTAAAAACAGACTAGATGAAGTATACACCAAAATAATGTACTTTATAAGAACCATATGTGTAAACAATATATAATAGGAATACAGTATTTGGAACTGCTTCCTATAGTGCAATAAAATTAGGTATCGCTTTAAAAAAGAAACCACTTATGAAAAAATGGGTTTAAAAGATAGTTATAAATAACAAGAAGTTTATTGATAAAAAATGTGTGTGTGTATATATATATATATATATATATATATATATACTTATTAAAATATTGAATATACAAGCCAGGAACGATGTGCAAGAATGTTACCAGCAAAGTAGTAGTCCTTATTTCGAATTTGTCACAGGGACCGGCTAGGATGGATGTAGATACTTTGTGTCACAGTGATCTCTCTAGCTGTCGGTTGCCGGTGAGGTTGGCTTGCGTCTCAGACCTCACTCTGAGAGATGGATGCTGTAAGCCAATCGGTCCCCAACTCGTGGGAGGTTTTTGGTACAGGTAAGGTCCCTACTGCTGGATCCAAAAACTGCATCCGTATCCTGCTTGATTGACTTCAATCTGACTCGTTTCGTGGGTGTCAGCCCCACTTCTTCAGAGATAGAATAGAGCTTGGTGGTTCAGCAATGATTTAAATATGTATCCAGTTAATTGATAATAGATTACAGTTGTTGCATATAACAGGTCATTATACAATACAACTATGAATTATATAAGTGATAGATCTGGTTTTGGTGGTTTCAGTATGGAATACCTAAAAATAATATATTGCACAAAAGTCTAAAATTATGTAGAAGTATAATGTTAAAAAATATAAATAAAAGTTATGGTTATGCCAGGATGACATACTACTGCACCTTGTAACAACATATTTGGACAATAATTCTTATGTTGTATAGAGAATAAAATACAAATAAAAATACAAATAAGACAAATAAAATTTATACAGAAAAATGGTATTATAATTTATAAACGGAAAATTGTAGATTTCGTTGTTTAGCTGTGTTCAATGCCATGCGAGGTACATGTGAAGGGAGAAAAAGAGAGATGAATAGAAACAGACGATTAAAAATACAGTTAATAATACAAGTATAGATATATATTATTAAAAAGCAAAATAGTATAATAAGATAATATAAATCCAATTTGTACATACCTAGTTTGGAACGGAAAATATAAAAATGAACTGTAAAATTAACCCTATTGAAACTTATACTTCCAATAAGTTTATATACTATATTTATGACCCAAATGTATATGTATGTGACATAAAAACATATATATATAACGTAAGTGGTATTATAGACCTATATTTCCGTTAGGGATAAACCTAAAGTGTGTAGTGTACGTGAAGGGGAATGAGGGTGTATACATAAAATTCTAGATACCCGTGTTTATAGATGCATAAAGTATATGAGAAAGTGGCCAATCTTAGTGATTGAAGATGTGTTGCGAATAATAATAAATAAAGAGACTAAAGCTATGTATAAATATAAAGATATAAGTATATGAATATGTTGAGCTTATAAAGAAGTGACTAATTTAAAGTTAATATAAGAAGTTATGGATGCAAAAATAGCTACAAAAATGCTAGTTAAATAGATAATATATGATTTCTCATTACATAATTGAATTAATTAGGTGCGGTGAATATTAAAGAGAGAGTGCCCATGGTAAAGAGGAAAAAAAAAATATATAGTAGGATAATAATGGAACAATGCAGTATAAATAGAAAAGGAATACATGGATATGTAGATTATAATAGAAATTCACTAGAAGTTCATAAAAGGTCTATAAGTAGACAAGTAATAAAAAGTATTTAAAAACAAGCATTATATAAAAAAAGAGCATTCTATAAAAAAAGAGTATTCCATAAAAAAGCATTAAAGTTCAAAGTCTACATTTAGACCTCTGGGAACCAGAGTCTCTAAGTGGAATATCCACTTTGCTTCAGTCTGATCCAGATTTCTTTCCATATCACCACCTCTCCAGTGAACATTCACTTTCTCGATGGGTAAAAATTTCAATTCCGTGGGGTCTCCTCCATGGAACTCCTGAAAGTGTTTAGAGAGATTATGTGTTTGGAGTCCCCTTTTTATGTTTCGGATATGTTCCGCTAGTCTGATTTTTAGTGATCTCTTTGTTCGACCTACATATTGTTTAGAGCAGGGGCATGTAATGAGGTAAATTACTCCTGTTGTGTCACAGCTCATGTTGGTCTTCAGATCATATTCCTTCATATTATTCACAGACGTGAATAACAATCCTCCAAGGGGGGATTGTTCTTGCATGCCATGCACTTCCTGCACCTTCTAAAGCCTAAATTTATTTATGGGTAAATAGGAAGAAGAATTAATTTGGAACCATTGCCCTTTTGGTGCAAATCTGTCCCTGTGGTGAAGATACATAGACGACTGCTTTTTTATCTGGAAAGGGGACTTAGAATCCCTAGAACTATTTCAAATCTACCTCAACACCAATCCATATAATCTTAGATTTACTTTTAACCACTCCCGAGAACAAATCGAATTTCTAGATCTTAATATTTTTATTGACGAAAAGAGAATACACACCAAGACTTTTAAGAAATCTGTGGATTATAATAGTTTTATCCCTTTTAATAGCCACCACAAACAGACCTGGCTCAAAAATATCCCATACAATCAATTTAGGAGGATCAGACGAAATTGTTCAACAATGGAAGTATGTGAAGAACAAATGGAAGAAATGCAGCA